TGAGGCGTGTGGATCTCTGCCTTCTGTCCTCTGTGTCTGCAGCTAAATTAGGCCGAGGGTCCGCAGGAGCCAAGTGACGACAGGGTTAGACCTCAGATCTTTCACCTTGTTGTCAAACACATCACATAACACCTCTGCAGCCTTCTAAAGTGTTGCATAGCTGTGTCAGCTGGGTGGAGTGTCTGTCATGCAGGAGTCTGAACAACCCACTGAGTTGTCCTTCCCAACGTGTGGCTGCCTTAGATGCATGGGAAGAAATTAGAATGAGGAGCTTCCAGTACACAGCAGAGTCTGGCCATAGGGAAGGCCCTGGCCACAGCAGGGTCCTAACCACAGCAGGGCCCTCGCCACAGCAGGGTCCTAGTCACAGCAGGGTCCTGGCCACAGCAGGGTCCTGGCCACAGCAGGGTCCTAGCCGCAGCAGGGTCCTGGCCACAGCAGGGTCCTGGCCACAGCAGGGTCCTGGCCACAGCAGGGTTCTGGCCACAGCAGGGTCCTGGCCACAGCAGGGCCCTAGCCACAGCAGGGTCCTAGCCATAATAGGGCCCTAGCCACAGCAGGGCAGGTGTCTGGCTACCCCACTCCCCACCCAGGCAGGGAGGGGCTGGTGGAGGACCTGCAGTCTCTCTTACTCCTCTAGTGGGGTTTCTCTCCTCTAGGTTGTTCTCCCTGCTGGTCCCGGTGCCACCCAAGCTCTTCCTGTCAATGGTGTACAAGTTTGAAGACCCGACGGATGTCCAGGTGGCTTTGGAGCTCACAACAGGGGATGCCAGCAGCTGCCATGTGGGTGGCATTTCGGTGTTGAACGGTGAGAGGCTGGGTGACTTCATGGAAAGAAGGTGGATAAGGTCCTGGCTCTGGGTGGAGCTGCTGTGGGTGGGGCTGCTGTGGGTGGGGATGGGCTGCTCCCACCTTGGGTGGAATCTGTTGCTTATGGTCATTACCTGCACTCCTCTGTGACCCTGCTAAGCAGCATGGCCTTTTGGGCAGGTTGAATACAGGTCTCCTTCTGGGCAAGACACTGAGATGGGCACACCAGTGGGCTGTGGAGATGGCAAGGTGGTAGAAGCCAGGATGAGTGAGTCTGGCCAGTCCCAGACACACAGCCCACTTGTCCTCCAAAATCTTTCCAAGCGTCTGTCCCACCAGGGGTCTCCTAGGACCCCTCCTCTCCCTGCTCTGTCCCACCAGGGGTCTCCTAGGCCCCCCTCCCCCCACTGCCCCACCAGGATTCTCCTAGACTCCCTCCCCTCCCCCCTCTGCCCCACCAGGGGTCTCCTAGACCCCCCTCCCCACACTCCCCCACCAGGAGTCTCCTAGAACCCCCTCCCCTCCCCCCTCTGTCCCACCAGGTATCTCCTAGATCCCCCTCCCCTCCCACTGCCCCACCAGGGATTTCCTAGACCCCCTCCCCCTACTGTCCCACCAGGGATCTTACTTAGACTCCCCTCCCCACAATGCCTTGCTAAGTAGACATCCTGCCCTTCTTGGGTTTTCCTGTGGGATTCTCCTTTCTGAAGCCCATGTCTTCTAGCAGAAACTGGCTCAAGGCACAGCCCCCGACCCCTCCGGGTGCCCCCCACCAAGCTGGCCAGATGGGCCAACCGTTGTGGCCAGCAGCTCAGTGGGGGCTGGATTCAACGGTGAGTCCTCCCCTGTCAAGTCCCCATAAGGCGATGGGCACACATGGGAGAATTTAAGGATTATGAGTTCCCTACTGCTGGGCAGTGGTGGCGCACGCCTTTAATCCCAGCACTCGGGAGGCAGAGCCAGGCGTGGATCTCTGTGAGTTCGAGGCCAACCTGGTCTACAGAGAGATCCAGGACAGACACCAAAACTACACAGAGAAACGCTGTCTCGAAAAAAACCAGAAAAAAAAAAAGAGTCCCCTACTGAAAAACCCCAGAACAAGGGGGAAGGAGACGCCTTGGTTTGACCCATGACCTGGGTACCCTCTGGGATGCTTCCCCTTCATACTGTGGCTCGGACCCTCCCTGCAGCTGGCTTGTGAGTAGCCTGTGTGTTCTTTCAGCTGCTATGAGGTGAGCCTGCATGGGTGCCTGCTTCAGGACCTCTTGGTGAGCTTTTCACGGCCACCCGGCAGCCGGGAGGAGAAGAGCTTCATTTGTCGTCTTGGAGAGATCCAGGTATGTATGTGGGAGCTGGGCCTGTGAGGAGAAGGGGTAGATGGGGGAGTGTCTGGGTCCCTGGGGAGGAGGAGGGAGGAGGAGGCACTGAGGAGTGCCTCCATATGGGATGCCCCCTATGTCCTCCTGGGCATCTAGCCGTACAAACCCCTCTCCTTCCAGGTGGTTGATGCCAACAGCCTGCTGGCCCCTCTGCCCCGGGTGCAGAATGTCACCATTTCACAGATCCGCTGGATCCCCCTGGTTTCGGGGTCTGAGGGCCTCCCTACCCGGCTCCTTCTCAGCTGCACTCTGCACTGGTCCTACCATCTGCTCCAAGCCCGGTGCTTCCGGATTCACTGCCGGGAACGGACAGGAAGCAGTTCTGCACCGGAGGAGACCCCTGGGACAGAGAAGCCCGTGTTCCTGGGCCTGGCTTTTGCCAACCAGTACCGTGTGGTGGACTTAGCAGTGGCGGCTGCTAGATTTGGGCAGGATGGTCGTGTGGAGTTCCTGGTGGAGCCTGTCCCCAGGGAGGGCTTCCTGGTGCCTCAGGTTGAGTGGGGCAGGGCAGCCCTGCTCTACTCAGCCCCTCAGTGAACCCAGCCCAGAGCACAGTACTCTTCTCACCTGAAGACTTGAGGTGTCTTCTTGGTCAGCCGCCCAGGGCTGAGCGGACGGCTGAGTGTAGCTGGGTCCCCAGGAGGCCAGGTCTCCAGGCTCTGGCCGTGCTCTTCAGGAAGCTCTGCCCTGTGGATGCTCCAGGTGAGTTACCTAGCATCCACATCCTTCTGTGTAATGCTCTCCATGGGATGCAAGTCTCAAGGAAGGAGAGGCTTTGAGGTTTCTTCCCAAAAATTCCATAAAGGCTATTACTCATCGTCTGAAAGGATGCTTCTGTTGAGAATGGTGGCCATTTATCCCCGCAGCTTTGACAATCAGAGACAAACATCACTGGTGGCAGCAAGGATCCCGAGGGGCCAGGATTTGTGATGCTCCCTGAAGCCTGAGGCAACACTCCTCAGGGTTGGAGTGGGTGTCGGGGGTGCTCACAGGGTAGCTGGGATGGTGCCCCCTAGGACTAGGAGCCCCATCAGGTGGGCGTTGGCACCCCCACCTGTACAAGGTGAGCCAGTCGTATTTCAGACTACCTGTATGGATGGTGGCGTTGGCAGCTGACTGTCCCTATGAACCCCAACTCCCTTGCCTGTGCAATATCTCCCCTAGGCTGTCTGCTCGTGGTGAAGGTGCAGAGACATCAGGGTGCCACCAGGCTTTTTCCTCTGTCTTGCTAGAGGCGGGTGAGCCTTGCCTCCGAGTGTGGCTACATCTTAGCTGTACAGAGCCCTGTTAACACTGGGCTGCATGCAAACGACCTGCTGTGTAGCTGGGTCTTGGGTAGTGCCACTGGCATTTTTCCTGCTTCTCCTGGTGCTTCATGCTCAGGCCACAATATAGAGCTCTCGAATCCCTTCTGTGCTCAGAAAAGAGACACAGCTCTGGGGTCTGACCTGTGGACCTCATGTTGTAGTATAGGGTGGGTGGCCACCAGATGCCAAGGTAGCCTGTCACCGTCCCCCAGAGGTGTAGGGGTTGGGTGGGTGGGGCTTCCTCAGAGTCCTGAGTGCCAAGCAAAGAGGGCAAGGGTGGCTCCTCCCTGTACGGGTTGATACCGCCCCTGCCCATCTTCCCTGATTTCCTGGGCACTCTGCCCCTCTTGAGTGAAGTGTAAGGGTGAGGACCTGGAACCCGAGATTGGGAACATTCTGCCCTGTTTCTCGTGTGGTTCTACCAGCTCTCACAGGGACAGGGGCAGGACAGGGCCTCTGGTAAAGCCTGGGCTACTCCTGTACTCTGGCGTGGCTCCGCCAGCCTTGCAGGGTGGGAGAGGAGCGAGCACCCGGTGCTGTGCTGGCCTTACTGTCTCTGGTTCACTGCCAGATCCTGCCCCAGAGCACTGGCTCTCCCACTCCCGGCCAGGGTGCCATGCCCGGAGTGGAGAGTCCGTGGGTGGCAGGCAGGGCAGGTGGCCTGTTTGGGGGCAGTGCAGCATTCCTGAATGCCCTGCTTCCCTCGTGGTATCGAGTCCGCTTTTTAAAAGTGCTGGTTCCTTCAAATATTTTATGCAGAGGAGGAAAAATTTATAGTGGCAATTATTTTCTCACAGTCTGGTGAGCAAGCAATTAGAAGTAAGGGGGCTTAGCAGAGCATGGCGTGAGGCAGAGCTGCACAACCCCACTTCCCAGGAGCACGGTCCCCAGTCCCAGCAACACTGGCTCCTGTGCAGGAAAATTAATCTGCCGGCATTTAAGCCTGGGCCCCTCTGGTGGATATAATCGCTTGGAAATAAATTATCCAATGTGAAAAATGAGAAGGCGAGTCTTGGTGCGATCCGACTCCCGGCCCCAGCCCTGAAGCTTTTGGATTGGATTCTGCATCTCTCCTTGCAGGGCTCAGCCTCAGCCTTCTAGCCCCCCTTCCTGCTGTTCTGCCACCTCTTTCAGAAGTTGGGGCTCAAGGCTGGGGCGGCACATTCACTTTGAAATGAATGTAGGACCACAGCTGAGGGCGTCCACACCACGATGGCTTCACTCCCTACCCCTGGCTCAGTGGAGCACCGTGGCTGGGGAATGCCCAGCATGCCCCTCTTCTTTAGATGTGACTTGTTGCAGAAGCCCTGAGGGCTGCTCTGCTCCCCTAGCCCGTCTTGGGATGGGGTGCAGCAGGCCTACCTGAAGACCTGGAATCCCAGGTATTTGCTCAGAGGGTCTCCAACCTGCCTATCCTAGGGCTGGGCCCCACACCCCAGTCCTTGAGGGCTTCCCCCCTGCCCCGCCCCCCCTGCCGGGAACTGCTAAATCAGAAAAAGCCATCCTGGTTTGAAGAAAGAAATCTTTATTAATCTTAATAATAATACTGTTAATTTGAATGGTCACACCGTGGAAGCATACAGAATGGTAAGAAAGGAAGCCTGGGGCTCGGCTGCAGTCCTGGGGGAGGGGCTGGGAGGAGGGGTTCCGAGCTGCTGTGGGAAAAGGGTCCGAAACAGCAGAAGGCGAGGGGCTCTGTACAGAGGACAGAGCCGGAGGCAGGCGCGGGGCTATGTACAACAGGAATAGAAAAGGAGGGTTCCGTTCCATAGCTTCGGTGGCTGATGCTGGATAGAAAGTGAGGTGATTTATTTTGAGGTGTCATGAGACAGTGGTGGCGCGTCGGGAGCCATGGTTTCTGTTAATTTTTTGCTGTTAATCCTACTCCACCTATCCCTGCCTTGCCAGGGGCTTCTTGCTACCTGTCCCCTGTACCTTCCACTGGGTCTGCTGCTTCCCTGTGACTCCCACTACACCTGCCCAGGGAGCCAAGGGGCTGCAGCGCCGCTGGCCTTCCCATGGCGGGGCCAGCCCGGACCTTCCCCCACTCCTTGCCTTCCCCATGGGTCCTGCTCTGACTGTGGCCCTCCAGACCCATAGCACCTTGACTCCCAACCTCGAGGTGCAGCCCAGGGCTGGCCCATCTGTCATCCCCTGCTCCCCAGCAGAACTGAGCCTACAGAAGGGAGTGGGAAGGAGGGCTGGGTCCTAGCAGACAGCTGAGGTTGGCCTTCTTCAGGAAGACTGCCACTACACACAAATCCTGTGCTCCAGGGCCCACCTGTCCACGCTCACAGCATGAGGACTGGGTCCCCGCTGGCTGGGCTTCCTTTGTTCTCTGTAGCTGGAAGCTTTTTCACATAGGGGAGCGGAGCATGGGGTGCCCCAGAGCTCTGGAGCCATGTCAGCCCTTTGCATTGGGAGTTGGACCCCAGGGCGGCTGGTTGGACAGCTGAGGCACTGGCAGCACATTCAATGAGGCCAGGCTGGAGACCTGGGATGAGTGACACGCCATCGGCCCCTAACTGCCCCCAGCCCCTCCAGGGCTCAGCAGGCAATAGCCCAAGTCAGCTGGCCGCTCCTTCTCAGGGGCCTGCTCCACCCTAGGAACCCCTGCCTGGGGAGCAGGGTGGGAAGGGAAGACTGGACAGATACCCGAGCCCCCCCGCCCCACACCCACGGGCCACATCTTCCCTCCAGGTCTTCCCCTGCGCCTGGCCGTATCCCTACTGCACCGCCAGCCAGGCAAGGCCACTCTCCGGCGCCCCCTGGGGGACGAGCTCCCTCGGTGCGGGCGTACGCCAGACGTGGACTTGGACTCGGTTGAATGCCTCTTGGTTTGGTTGGAATTTTTTGTTGTTGTTGTTGTTGCTTGGATCTTAACATCTTTTTTTGTTTTGTTTTTTGTTTTGTGATTTTTTTTGTTTTTTTGTTTTTGCCCTTCATGGTCCGAGAAGGAGACGGTGGAAGGTTTCACTACAACAGAAACAGAAAGGGAAGGCTTGCAGTTTCTGAGGGGTGGCTGCAGCACATGGGGGCCACTGTGCCTGTCCAACCTGAAGTCACAGTACCCCACAGCTTCTGGAACCCCACCACAAGTTGGACCTAAAGTAGACCATCTTGTAGGGATGGGCAGGGCTGTGAGTGGATGATGGGTAGGGTATGGTGGAGAACGTGGGAGGAGAGGGAGCAGGGCTCTCGATCTACAACGGGGCTTACAGCTTTGGTAGCCTTGTGGTCCCGAACCCCCAGAGTGGAGGGGCCAGCACCTGCTAGTCCTCCAGAGCTCTCAGCTTGACCTCAGGTACCAGTTGGCATCCCTTCTGGGACTCTAGGCTAGGTAGAGTTAGGTGGGTCCCTACAGGCCACAGAGGCACATACATGCTAACGGAGGCTGGGGTGGCCACAGAAAGGCTGGGGGAGGGAAGCTGATGCGTGTCCCTGGCCTGACTGCTGACACCCTTTTCTCTCCTGTGATGGACCTCGACAAAAGGTATGCTGAGTCTTGGGGATGGGTGGGCAGCTCTGTAGGTCAAGGACAATACCCAGAGCCATCAGCTTCAGGTGCCTGAGGATGTGGTCAGGTTCAGGAAGGGTCTCCGGGTCCACCAATGCAGGGTGACCCCGGGGCAGGGACATTTCCATTTCTGTAAGGAGTCCCAGAGCTGGGGTGATCGCAGCAGTATACACACAGAACAGTGTGCTGTGACTACTTGGACAGGAGGATCATTAGTAAACTTTAATAGAAACATTAACTTCAGCTGAGTGGAAGTCCAGAGGGGCCGCAGCTACTCCTGACATTCCTAGGGAGAGGTGGATGGAGGCCCCTCCTCCCACTGGGGAACCCACTGACGAGGCCTAGGTCCCTGGTGCTCCTCTATCGGTCACCAAGCATGGGGGTGGCCAGGCCTGCAGGGGGATGGCTGAGGTGGCTCTGAGGGAGGCTTGGTGGCACTTCTGGAGCTCCGAGGGCCCGTGTTGCCCTGAGACATAGGCATGGCCCTGGTAGGGCAACTTGCCGTCCCCCCGGCCTGGCTCCCGCTGTATGCATACTGTACCTGAAGTGGCTTGTACAACACCAACAACGTCAAGATAGGAAAGCAAGGTTCAGACATACAGGAAAACCAGGGTCAGAGACACACACACCAGCATGGGTGGGGTGGGGAGACCAGCCGGCTGGAGGTAAAAATCTATGGACTTTAGAGTCGCGGAGGGTCAGCGGCGCTTGTCACTGACCGGGAGGGCGCACTGTCCTCCTGGTGGCTGTGTCTGGTGTTGGGACTGTAGGGTTTGGTTTGGAATAAGCAGTGGTGTGAATGCTGTGAGGGGTCTCTTGCTAGTAGGGGGTGAAGCGGCTGTACCCTCCTCGGCAGAGGCTAGCCTGCAACATCAAAGATGAAAAACAGCCAATCAGTACCATCTTATGGTATCGGGAGGAAAAATCAAAAAGAAAAAAAAAAGGAGAACCAAAAAAGAAAGAAAGAAAGAAATAGCTAATCCCACTTTCTTCCCCCCAATGGCATTTCTTTGGGAAGAACGGGTTTTGGGTTGCCATGGCAACTGGGGGCCTGGTTCCTTGGTGGTGGTCTTGGGGCTGGGAGGGATGGCCCTCCCTTGCAGACTTTTATACTGTTTCTGGGGTCACTTCTTGGGGCTTCAGCTGGGTCCACTGTGCCCTCTGGTGGAGCTATCAGCCTAGTCAGGATGCTCCGACAGGGTGCCTAGTCTGTGGCTCCAGAGCCACTGAAGCCTGAGGGGCACACCTGCTGGTCACAGCTCCTGCCCTGCATCTGGGTCTCCTAGGGCCTCCTAGGTTTGGCTCTGTGTCCTGCCAGAGAGGATTCCGTGGAATCTCATCCCCACCCTCAAGTTTTGCAGGAAATGGGAATAAAGTAGCAAATGCAGGAGGAAAAAGTTGGAGGATGCCTCCAGAGCCTCAAAAATAAGCCATAACCAAGAGGGGCCTGTGAGTCAACCACAGCTTTCAGCTAGCAGCTGCCTTGAGACTGAGCTGTGCAGACAGCCGGGGCCTTCAGGCTGCAGTCCTGGGTCTGGGTCTTTTCCTGGATGGCTGTGGCACCCTCTCAGCTAGAGCCCCCACAGGCCTGTTCAGGGCTTGTTAAAAATCAACAAAGACAAAAATTCCAAGGGAATAATCAAAACCAAGGAAGGTAGAAAAAAAATCCATGTTGCCTCTCAGCTTTCTCTCTTTACTGCCCCCCCAAATGTTTTCATCTTTGATGCTGGATGCCAAGCTAAAAACGTACATCAACATCCCTGGGGGTCTAAGGCACAGGAAGTAGGTGTGCACTGGACACAGACTGGGATACAGAGGGTCTGGGCTATGTTGACAACTGGGCATACACATACACATACACACATACACATGCACACAGACACACCAGCCCACCCACCTCCCACCCTGCTAGGGTCCTCTCCACCCTGCAACCATGAATGAGGCGGCTGGAGACTGTATCCCTGGAGCCCTGGGGTAGTCTGGGAAGAGAGTTTGGTGAGAAAGGGTTGTCATACTTTAGTCCCCCTGCTAAGTGAGAATGGGCGGCTTGGGGGTTAACCTCAGACACTTCACGGCCAGGCCCTGGAGCCACTGCAGGGAGGAAAGGCCATGGTACTGGTAATGGAGGGGCCTTGACAGGACTGTGGTCACTGGGCTCCGGAACACTAGGATGCTTCCCAGAGGTCCTCTCCATAGTTTTTCCCACCTCTCCAGAACTAGGTACTGGCTGGAGGTCCCACCCATCCCATCACAGGATGGATCTCTTCACCGTGACCGGCGGCTGTTCTTACCATGGTTCCGATGCTGTAGGTTGCTGTGGGGCCGATGGTGTGATGGTAGGGATCAGTGGCTGCATAGACTCTGCCATAACTAGGAAGAGCAGGGAGGGAGAGGGTGCGGGAGACGGGCAGCTGAAGCAGGCAACAGCTGACCAGCCTTCCCAGACCAGCATCCTTCCCACGAGGCCTCTCCCTCCCCCGTGAGACCCTCTCAGCTTCCTGTCCATCCTTCCTGTTTGGAAGCAAGTGTCTGGAACGTAGCAGTATATTCCCTTCGTTAGGTGGTCAGTGTGTTCTGCTTGGTGACACAGGGAGGGGATGGAATTCTTAGCAAGTTCGTTTGACTCGGCCTCCAGCAAGAACTAGGGCTAAGAGCTGGGAAAGGGCTTTGAGAGAAGAGAGATGGGAATGGAGACCCGGAACATCATGGCCCACGAGGTGGCACTCTGTCCCAGATGACCTCTTGCTCACCCAATTTGTGATGTGACAAGTTCTTAGAGGTCAAGGCTGGGTCTTAGCATCCTAGGCCTTGCACATTTGGGAAGGTGGGGCAACAGGCCGTAAGGAGGGCAAGGGCTGGAAGAGTTGGAGGACCCCACCGGCTATGGGGGTGGGGAGCAGGCAGCCTCCAGGCCACAGGGAGCATGTGGACAAGAATGCCAGCTTTCTGTAGGCAGATAGCTCAAACAGGAACTCTGAAGCTACCAGGCCAAGAGTCTGAGGGAAAAGGCATTAGGCTCAGCCTCTAATGAGGACTTGCCCCCGAGAAAGCATAGCTTTCTTCCTGGGCATGCTCACAGCTGGGCGGAGGGAGGGCTGGGTGCTCCCAGATACAAACTGGACCAGAGTTATTTTCAGAGGCCAAATGGAGGCCCCCAGTCGCCCTCCTTGTAAGGGGTCTTGAGAGCTGTGAGACCCCTGGGTTGAGAATCAGGTGTTCTATCTGCTACATGAGAGAGAAGGCATTAATCAGTCAGGGACTCCCCGGTTCGTGCATCTCTGAGTTCAGTCTGGATTTGCTTTTCTTCAGGCCTTGCACTCACCAGACACAGGCACCCTGGTGGGCGGGGCTTCCTGTCTGTCGGAACCCACCCTCCAAGGAGCCCACCACGACCCTGTGCGGCCTGCTGCTCCCAGCCTCACCTGTCGCTGTAGGCTGCGGCTGCGGCGGCTGCTGCGGGCTGAGCGTATCTGTAAGCTGCATAGCCTCCCTGCAGGGGAGGTGGGAAGGAGAAATGGCAGACAGACTCAGTGGGGCTCACTCAGGTTCAGGCAGAGCCAGAGAAACTGAGGTGGACACAGACCCAGGCCCTCAGGAGGGGCTGCAGACCTTCTCAGGCCTCCTGTGGCGGACTTTCGGCCCCCACCTTGGCCTGGTGTGGCTTAGGTGGTCCTGGCTGGGAACCTGGTTTGTGGTCTAATGGAGGTCTGAGGCCTGCACTGTTCCAAGATGACGCAGGGTTGCCTGTTCATTTGTCCTTCCTTCCTTCCTTCCTTCCTTCCTTCCTTCCTTCCTTCCTTCCTTCCTTCCTTCCTTCCTTCTTCCTTCCTTTTCCTTCCTTCCTTCCTTCCTTCCTTCCTTCCTTCCTTCCTTCTTCCTTTTCCTTCCTTCCTTCCTTCCTTCCTTCCTTCCTTCTTCCTTCCTTTTCCTTCCTTCCTTCCTTCCTTCCTTCCTTCCTTCCTTTTCCTTCCTTCCTTCTTTCCTTCCTTCCTTCCTTCCTTCCTTCCTTCCTTCCTTCCTTCCTTCCTTCCTTCCCTATTCTCACAAACACTTGTGATTTTGTTGCATACTAATGTATACCAATTGTATCTCTGGCTGCATGCTGATCCCGGCACATAGTAAGTGCCCAGAGACCTACTAACAGACCAGCTACTACTTGAATGCTGACAGTCACAGGAAGCCCACTGGTGACTCTAGACACAGTCCTGGCGCCAGGAAGGATGAAGGGGGCCTGGAAGGGATTGGTTCAGATATGCCTTAGACAAGTGGGTAGTTAACTATGGGTAGCTGTCCAGGGGCAAGGCATAGCCAGGTTCATTGTGGGGGGATGCTCACTGAGGGTTCTGAGCCACAGAAAGTGATGAGCAGTTTCAAAGGGAGGGGGAGGCACAGGACCTCACCCAGAGAGAATGGACAGCTAGGGCCTGCCTCTGGTCTCTCTCAGGACCTCCACACCGGGAAAGGGTGTCCTTGGATGCTGGTTTTAGCATGGTTAGGAATGGAAGAAAACCACTCAGTGCCCCTCATATAGCCCCCTGCCACACGGGGCAGGATGCATTAGGCTTGTAGGGCTACTGGGACAGCCATTTGCAATGGCCATAGCCTGTGTGCACGATGCTCAGCACTAAGCCCAAAGGGCAGGAAGAGAGAGGCCCTGAGGGCAGACAGGTTTCTCACGGGCACAAAGAGTGTTGGACTTGCACCCTTCCCTCCCCAGGGCTACACTTACATAAATCTCAGCACCATAAAATCCATCCTGATACACGACCCTGGAAGCAAACGGACAAGAGAGTGGTGGGAACGCTGGAGAGGTGGGGTAGGCCGGCTCCGGTGTCTGCTGAGGAGGGAGGGGGCACGGTGCCAGCCCCGCCCACGGGACTGGCATTTTAACAAGCGTTTGCTCCAGTGCCCTGTTTGGTATAACAATAGAGTAACACCCTTGCTGGTCAGCTCCTTTCTCCCAAAACCCAGGGGCCCATCAGCCCACTCCTGACTCCTGCTCTCCTCCCCTGTCTCCCCCAGGCAGCTGTCCCCCTTCAACAGTGGAGGGCAGGACCCCAGGAAAGGGACCAGAGAGGGCTCCCAGAAGGCCCTTGCTGGACCCAAGGGCTAACACATGCCCTAGTTAGCATTCAGATGACATGCTGGTGCTAAATGGCCCCTCAGAGGCCAGTGAGCCCTGGCAGTGTCCCCTGTGGTGGGGACACCGATGGTGCAGGCAGTTGCGGTGCTGGGTTCTGGGGTCCCCGACATTCTGTCCTGCCCCACAGTTCTGGAAGGGCTGCTGAGCCCCCTTAACTTCTCAGGGGTGCCTCCCATGCCCCCTGACCTTCCCTCAGCCTCCCCTTCCAGGTACTCACGCTCCGTAAGTCGGAATGGGGGGCGGAGGTGGTGCAGCTCGAAATGTATTATACACAGCACGGCCCCGGCCCCGCAGGTGCGCACCCCGGTAGGCGACAGCGGTGCCCGTGGTGGGGTAGGGGAAACTGGTCACTGCAGGGAAGGAGCCCGAGAGAGCAGGAGAGGACAAGTGAAGAGTGGCCAAGGCTTACAGCCCCACTTGCCCTGCCCCAGTCCATCCCACCTGCCCCGTCCCCGCCTTTACCTGCATAGAATTCAGGCCCATAGACTGCCCCTACTACAGGGTTTAGCTTCCAGCCTAGAACAGAAAGAACACAGTCACTGGCTTCCCAAACCTCTCCTTCTGCCTGGGACCTCCAGAGGCAGTGAACAGCCAGGTACAGGGATGCTTTCACACTTAGCAAAGGGCAGAACCCTGTCCAGGAATGGGCCGAGGAGGCAGGCCATCAACCCGGCTCCCTCTCCTGACACCACAGCCACCTGCTACTGGAGGAGACACAGTGTGAAAATATCTACAGTTGGGACAAAGGATTCACTGTTAGGGGTGTTTCTTCACCTCCTGCCTGAAAGTCTCCCTGCTGCTCTGAGGTTCCTGGGTCCCCCACCCTCTGTCCTCTTATCTCAAGTCCTTCTGTAGGGTTGCTGGGGGAGAGGGGGAGGAAGGCATTAGACTGAAGAGAAGAAATTGTGACACGGTCAGCAAAATGGCTCAGTGGGTAGAGGTGCCTGCCACTAAACCTGGTGACCAGAGTTCAAGTCCCTAGACCTACATGGTGGAAGGAGGGAACCAACTCTTGCAAGTTGTTCTTTGATTTCCACACATGCTACAACATGCTTGTACTACACACACACACACACACACACACACACACACACACACACACACACACTAAAATGTTAAAAGAATAATAATGACGACGGCTAATAGGTCCCATGTACTTGGAGTGTGCCAAAAATATGTTGTTAACTCCTGAGGTTCTCATCGTACATGGGGCAGGTACCACAACCTCCCCATTTACACTCAGAAACACAGATTGGTAATACGGGTGTGTGTGTGGAAGAGCGGGTTTCAAACCTGTGCTCTCAAGCCAGATGGGCTTCCTGGCTTCTGCCTGGGACTACAGCTGGACTCCGCACCCCACCTCTCCCTTCTTCCAGGTGGGCAGTCCTCTTTTCCCACTGGGACTCAGGAGCAAAGCCCTGTTTCCCTGTGGATTCCGGGGTAGAAGCCAGCTGGATTCCAGTGGGTTAGGGCTACAGGTCAGATGGTAGGTGGAGAAGGATTAGCCTACCTCCTGATTTACTCAGGCCTCATCTGTGCAGTCCTCATTTGCATGCATGATGAGGAGGGACAGAGAGGACCTGAGCCTCTGGTCAGAGGGCGAGAGGGTGGCAATGGACTGTGGCAGACGCGCATGGAAGGTCCTAACCCCAATCTAACGGCCCCACAGGAGGGCAGGTGAACAAGCAGCACCTAAGTGGAGCATCCAGGCACTCTACCCACCTAAGCGAGACTAAGCACTTTCCACCCTCAGCCCTCTAGTATCCCGCCTTGTGTCTGAACTGGCCAGGATTCTGGAATCTTCCATCCAGCCAAGGTTAGCAGGGAAGAAATCTGGTGAAACAGACCCCCAAGATCTCATCTTCCAGGACAGATCATAATGTAGCGGAACCCTGGTGCTGGTCTGGGTCCCACTCTCCCTAGGCTTCTTCCCAGGTTCTTCTGTGTCCATCCTGGAAGAGGAGTCAGGGGCTGCATCCTGTCTCAGGGGCCCTGGGCACTTTGACCTAAGAATGCCTACTTGCCTGCTGGCTTTGCTTCAGTTGAACCCCACAGACACAGTCTGAGGACCCACCTGGATGACTATTTGTGTCCACTGTAAGTAGGGCACCTGGTAATGCCTGGTGGGCTTGTTTCCTGCAGTGAGGACCTCAACACTCCCGACGATGACCTTCACAGTACTCAGCGTTAAAGTGCTCATGAGCCAATGCCCCTCCTGGCCATGCCGCAGTGAACCCAGGGCTGTCCCTCTGAAGTCCCAGGATTCTTGCCTGGTGATCGGAGGCACTGAAGCGCAAATCTCGACAGCAAGATGAGCAGAGCCTTCTGCCTCTCTCACTCCCTGACACCGGCCAGCACCTCAGTGCTCTGAGGAGCCAGCCAGGAACAGAGCTGCCTGGGGCTGGACTTAACTCTGCGCAACATACTCCTCAACTCTCCTGGTGTGTCCAGACAGTGGTGTAACTCAGGATCTTAGGGAAGAGTGGGAAGGGGCTCAACTGTGTCACAGCTGCTGTGGACTACCCAAGCCCTGGGGGTCCACAGAAGCCAACAGGTCCCTTCACTGCCAAAGCTCATGTGCAATGGCTGCACACAGCAGCCCCTCGGCGTGGGTGGCTCACCTCGGAGAAAGAACTTCTAGTGCATGTCACGGCTCTGCCCCTATGACCTAGTCCAGGGTCCAGAGGGTTGTTTTAGGTGCCTGGGGCTCACACAGTGGCAGGCGTTCACAGTGGCGAGATCATTGTGTCCATTTACCCCAAACTGCAGCTTATGACTCAGGCTTTGCAGAGGACCAAGTTCAAGATCCTGAGCCATTAGAAATATCCAGATATTAAGGAAGAGGGCTTTATCAGTTTAATGGGGGGGAAGATGTGGTGGCTGAGTGGTGGCTGACTGGGATGCTGTGGGGTCATGTGTGTCTGAGCTGTGGTCCTCAGGACAAGCTTCACCCTCAGGAGGGCTTCCCCCATAATGACCACTGCTTAATCACACCACCCACAAAGCCCCACATCTTGTCCACCTTAATAAAGCCGACCTTTTTTACCACCTGTGCTAAGGACCAGCTAGCACAAGTTGTCCAGGATTCACTAAGGACTCAGGCAAATCCAGGACACCTTCAAGTTCTCAGAATTTTGAGAACCAAATCCTTGCAAAATCGAGAAGGAGTCTTTGAGACCCAGTCCTGAGCTGGAACCTCCAGAGTCTCCATCTGTGCTGTTAGGTTTGTTTGTTTTCCCAACCTGACACAAGCTGGAGTCATCTGAGAAGAGGGGACCTCAACTGGGAAGATGACCCCATCACATTAGCCTGTGGGCCAGCCTGTGGGGCATTTTCTCGATTAATGACTGATGTGCAAGGACCCAGCACACTGAAGTAGTGCCGCCCCAGGCAGGTGGTCCTCATGGTGTGAGAAAGCCGGCAGAGTAAGCCAGGGTGAGCAAGCCAATAAGCAGTGTTCCTCCATGGTCTCTGCTTCAGCTCCTGCCCTGACTTCCCTCAGTGACAGACTGTGATCAGGACGTGTAAGCCAAATAAACCCTTTTTTTTCTCAAGTTGCTTTTGGTGCTGGTGGTTATCCAGCACCAGGAAAACCTAACAAGGATACCCTCTCACCCAAGATCTGACACCTGAATGCTGCCCGACCACGCACCAAATCTACCCATGGCTCTGCCACAGGCTTGCTCCACTGGTGGGTCACCCAGCTCTGTGTATGGCTCATTGCTGAAGACAAGGGCAGCTGAGATGTGGTCCATCCTACCTCCACGCAGAGGTGGGTCATTGTGCTGTCTGTGAGTGGTATCATACCCTCAACTACAGATATTACTCCCCAGTAGGCCCCAAGAGCTAGAAAAGTCTCTGCTGCACAACCAGCTACCCTCAGGGCAGACCTCTCACTGGTAATCTCTAACAATCTCTGTGGAGTCGGCCACCAGCACCTGCAGCCTAGCAATGTGCATACACAGAACTGTATAGCTGACCAGCAGTGTAGGCCAGCTGGGAGCTGTAGCTGACACTTCAGGGGCCAACGGACACGCTCCTTTCATGGTCAGCCTCTCACATAACACTGACACCTGTGTCCCCAGCCCTGAGTGGCCCTCAGAGATGCCATTTGTCATTCGCCAGCTCGCTGCGGTGGATGTTGGGTCTCATGTGGCCCAAGCTGGCCTTGAACTTCTGATCCTTCTGCCTCGACTTTGCAAGTGCTGGGATTACAGCTGCGTACCACCACCGGTTTATGTGACGCAGAGGGATGCAGCTCAGGGCTCTGAGCATGCCAGGCAAATGCTCTACCAACTGAGCCACACCCCCTCCGTATTCGTGTTTTTCAGATGAAAAGATTGGGGTCCAGGGATGTCTCGAAGCTTGACTGGGGTCCCTGACCCCTTCCTCCCTGTCCTGTGAATGAGGACAGTGCACTAAACCACAGAGCCCTCTGGACTCAACTTTGTTTTCCAGGAAGTCACCCTGTCTGTCACCCACTGCCTTTCTATATGGCCTCTGGGAGCTGTGGACACTTGGAAAAGCTCAGAGGCTCTGACTGGAGACACCAGCTATGTGGGTGGGGACAGTGACTCCAGCTATCTGCCTCAGCTGACCTCTCCTCTCTGACAGGACAGAAATGGGAAAGCTGGGACATCAGATGGGGACCGTGGAAGCAGGAAGAACCAGGAAGGCTGGCCTTTGGCTGCCTCAGCTTCCCCAGGCTTCTGTTCCAGTCCCTGAAGCATGCTGGGAGTCTTGGGTTCTCACCATTGGCATATGGGTTCCCAGGCTTCTTATTGGTCATGACCCGGGCTGTGGCATTATTAACCTGTCCAGGAGAGAGAGAGAGTGAGTGAGTGGGTCAGCTTCATGGCAGGCCCTCAGCCACCCTGGTTTTACCCTTGGGGTATGGCCTCTGGGGAGGAAGGCCACCGAGGCTCCTAAGCTGCTATCTAGCTGGGTCCAGGATGCTGGCCCAGACTGGCGCTTTTCATGAAGCAGTTCCAGTAAACAGAGCCCAACCCTGCTGGAAAGCGTAGGCCCTTGGAGCCGGTCCTAGGCCTGTTAGCAGGCCAGGCTCCATGATGTTCTCTTCCAGGCAGTTGCCAAGGCCCTCCTAGGTGTATGTGCAGGATGGCTACTCCTACCACCATGGGCAAGCAACTCTTTTCCTGGGGTAGGGTCTTTGACCTCTCTCTGCAGCGTGGAACTTTCTGATGGGGCCACTGGGCACAAGGTGAGTAAGGGAAGCATTAGAAAGACAGAACCCAGGGGCTAGGCCCTGTTTTCCACATATATAAGGCCTAGCCAGATTGCCTGGGGCAGGGGCAATGACACAGGGGGAAGTGAGGGAGGCAGGAAGGAACCGGGCAGTGCCTGAGGACGTCTGGGCCACACGCATCCTCTGCACTTCTATGTGTGAGCCTGGGCAGAGGTCTCAGAGTCACTGGGCACTGGGCTGGGTCGGGGTGTCAGAATCCCTCCTGCTACAGTTTTAGGCCTCCCCTTTAGCGGTCTTCCCTTCTGCTTCAGGCCTGGGTGCGGAGCCCAGCTCTGGACCCCGAAGCCACACTGAGGAACCAACAAGGAGGAAAGGGGCAGAAATGGGGTGTCTGGGGGCCCCTCCCAACTCTGCTCACTGCTAGCCTTTGGCGAGCTGCACCCGCCACTTCCGCTTCTATTCAACAAGGCTGGCAGTGGCTGAGGCCGCCTGCTGGGAAGACCCTCTTGGTCAGGGACAGGCAGGGCTGCCACAGCCCTGGAGACCACCTGGCCTCACAGGTTTTCTGGAGCCCCCTGTGTGTGGATGGGGACAGGCCTCTTCCAGGAGGAAAGGACAGAAGGAGGTCGGGAGGTGGAGACCTCAGAGGGAGCTTTAAGCCTCTACTGGCCAGGGCGACAGGTGCTAGGCTGAGGCGAAAAGCTGACGGTTGGGAGGTCGGGCCCAGGGCAGTCCCTCCTCCAGTCGGAGGCCCCTGTTGGGCTCTTTGTAGGGTGGGCCGCAGCCAGCAGGCTGGTGGGGGGCCCAGGGGCGGGGCATGCTGTCCAGGACCTCCCTGCCCTGCTGCGCCGCCGCACACTTATCTGAGCACCTCAATTTTCCGTCCCTCTACGATCGTCCCATTCAGCTTCTCCCGGGCTCGGTCAGCATCTGAGCTAGTTTCAAAAGTTACAAACCCAAAACCCTGTGAGCAGAGGAGGACAGACAGGAGAAGACAGGATGAGAAAAGGGAAGGAGAGGAGGGGGGGAGGGGAGAGGGAGGGAGAGAGAGGGGGCAAGTCAGGTGAGTGAAGGAGAGCCCCCAGTGTCAGAAGTCTGTCTTGTGCCAGCACTAGGAGACGACCCCAGGCAAGAGCAGGGCCTGAGCCCAGCCTGAGCCGCCATGTCTGACACGTCCCAGGAGGACAGGTCAAAGAGATGCTAACCTGGCCAGGGGCCAAGCCCGCCACTGTAACCCCACCGTGGGGTGAGGGGATGAGACTGGGCTCCACGGGGAACAGCACCCCCACCTTTGCTCTGGGAGCCCAGGGTGTGTGTGTGGGTCTTCCTGGAGAGGGGAGCAGGGCTTTCCTCGTGTGGGTGCCCTCCCGATCTACAGACTCGGCAGCCCCTCCCAACAAGCCTCCAGGGTTGTGAGTAGTTGGGTGGGCTTGGGGACCCAGGCCCAGGGCTGGGGGCAGTGGGGCTCTGGGGTGCAAGCAGGAGGTCCTGGCAGCCCGAAGGAGGAGAAGCAGCCTGGCAGCGACAACAGACAGCTGGGGGGCGGGGGGCAGAAGAGCAGGGAGTACAAGCACCCGTGTGGCTCAGGGGTCCTCGGGCGGGCGGGCGGGCGAGCGGGCGGGCGCGAAGCTCTCCAGGAAGGAAACGCACATTTCACACGTTAGCCTGGCGGGCCCTACAGCTGGCGCGCAGTAATGGTGGCGGCCTCTGTGCGGCACCCACCTTGGAGCCCCGCTCGTTAAAAATGATCTCCACGTCTAAAATTTTCCCGAATTGCTGCAGAGACAGAGAGAGGAGGGGTGGAAGACGGGGGAGAGGGGTTACGACAGCAGCAGCCTTACCCGTTTTACTCCCAAGACGCCACCAGGCTCAGGGAAAGAGGACCCCAGGGGCGCCCTTCCCCTTCTTCCTCTGGAGGCCTTTGTCTTCCTTAAGGAACATGTGTCATAGCACCAGGGTGCCCCTGGGCCACGGCCACAGCAGGGAGGGAACGCCCAAGGTATTAGTGCCATCCTTAATCTTCGGAGAGGCCTTTGCCTAAATGGGCTTGTGGAGAAGGGGAGGGTCATGCGCTGGGGCCAGGAAACGACAGTTGAGGTGACAGATCAGGACCCTTGATTAGGATAAGGAACCTTCAGGCCCCTCTGAGTGGGGTAGAGGGTGAGAGTTGGCAAGTGGGAGATGTTAGAGTGAAGGACCAGGGACCAGGGTGGGGGCACAGATCCTTATACTGGTGACTCCTGGTACCCAGTACTGTTCGCCCCTGTGCTGTAGAAAAGGCTTGTGTGTTGGAACCCAGGTCTCCTGCCGGTACAGGGTGTGCTGCCAGCCAGGATACATTGCTCTGGCTCTGGCCGATCCCTTCCAGCCCCATAGCTAGCCTGGAGTCTCCATGGTCAGCCTCGTCTCCCTCAGTGGTCTATGAGACCATGAACCTGTGGCCCACATCTCCACAGGACACCAGCGAGGGCCTTAGCCCACAGCCTCCTGGGCTAGAAACTGACTCTTCTCACCTTGCACACTCCTGACACAGAGCAAGAGCGCCTGGAGGGCCAGGTAGCTATAGGGCCCTGTCTGCAGGTTCTGAGAAGAGGGGAACCTTTTACATTGGGCTTCTACTTGTCTGTTAGGACCCCTAGGAGTAGGTGCAGGGTAAGGGCCCTGGTCAATGATTGTCTACAGTGGCAGCTGCTTAATGCAAGGGGCCCAGGCTCAGAGAGGTTCAGAGTCCCCTGAAACTCCCGTCAAGAGGGCTCAGTAACCTCATCATCTGATGGTTCTGAATCATGCCTGTCCCACTGATCCAGTGAGAGCCACCCCAAGATCGGGAGTGCAATTCTAGGGTCACACTGGTGCTGCTCAGAGGCACCCGGCACTGCCCTACGCATCCCAGCTGTGCAAGAAAGGCTGAGCAGAGGGCTGAGGCTCAGGGCCCAAGCTGCTAGCTGTGTGGTAGAAAGGGAATGGATGCTGGGCAGAGAGAGAGGAGTTGAGGCAAGGGTGGAGACAGAAGGAAGGAACAGAGGCACACTGCATGGTCCTCTGGAGCCAGGGCAAGCCCGGGAGCTCAGGAAGCTGTCCCTATTCCCCAGTCTTCTTCTCCACAGCAGCCCCACCACCCACAGACACCAGCACTTGTCTTGGAGCCCAGATCCAAGGCAAGCCTCCCAGGGCAGCCTGGCATGGGGTTTCAAGGGTACCACCTTCTCTGGAGCCCAGCAATGCAAAATCTAGGACCACACCCAGAGGACCTGAAAAGGGCACCACTTGGTTCCAATACATTATATTTGCAAGTCTCCCCTCCCCTGGGGAGCCAGGACACAAGCCTGGAAGAGGAGAACCTTGTTCTCCCTAAACACACAGGAGAAGCTGCAGCTGTGTGAGGCCAGGAGGCCAGGCTGTCCTTCCAAGTACCTTCTTCTGGGGAGCACAAATCTGCCTCAAGGTAGGCTGCTGGGGCACAGGGGACTTTATGGGAGTGGTGGACAGATACCTGGCAGAGAACCAGGTGATCACATGAAGCTTAGGAGGTAGCCCTTACCAAACCCCTACCCTAAGCTTGGGTACCCCCTCTTGTGCTCTGCCATCAGATGGAGGGGAGAGCTGCCTGGAATCAGATAAGAAGAATACAAGGACCCTACCTCCTCCTGGCACAGACTCTCTGCAATGATGGGGTGGAGACAGAGAAGCAGGGGTGCGCACACTCACCCCGAACATTTGCCGCAGGTCGGGGTCCCTGAACCGGAAGGGGATGTTGGAGACATGTAGTCGTTTGGGCTGCTGCTTCTCCGTGGGGTCAGAAGGGTGGAGCTGCTGGCTGTCCGTCTGTGCTGCCTCATCTGCTTGCTGTGGAGAGAAGACGAGGTTGTAAGGCGGCCCTGTGGACTGCATGAGCCTGTCCTCTCTCCATCCCAACCACCCCTGGGCCAGCGATCCCTAAGAGAACTCCCGTAGACAATTCTCAAGGTTTAAATGGCAACCAAGGCCTCACCTTTACTGTCCTGGTGAGCCTGTGAGACCACATCTCTCCTGTCAGAGCCGGCTCAGGCCTCCTTGGCCAGGTCTGCAACGAGCTCCCTCAACACGACCCTCTACTGAGTTCTACCCTCAGTGGCTTCTTAGCCCAATACTACTGTTGCTCTCAAAGAAGTTCTGGGAGTGAGGGCCCTTCTGGTGTCAGAATCGGATTGGTTTTACGACCGGCTGCCTGGGTACAGTTACCTGCAAGGTGTTGCTGTCATGCCATGGACTCCCAAGGCTCCTTCCGACCCTGGTCATGCTGCTTCACTCAACCCCTGGGGGCCGCCCTCATTGTTAGGGCCGGTCTCACACGGTCTGTCCTCCTTTAGACTAAACACTGGCTGGCAGAAAACTTGAAAGTTTTGGGTTTTAAGCCCACCACCCTATAGCTTGTGTAGAACTGGGAGCCCAGAGGAAGCGTGCCTGAGGCTCAGCCCGTGGAGACATCTTCAGGGAGGCTGGCCTTCAGTCTGACTCACTCTCAGCTTCACTTGCAGCAGCAAGGACAGACTGGCCAGCACTTCCTCAGCACTGGCTGGTGAGTGGGTATCTGGACCAAGACAGTGGAGTTCATCTCCTGGATGCCCAGGCCTGAGGTCCTCATGTTCACAGCCAGGTTCCTTTTTACTATTGCCCATTCTCCCAGTGGGACTGAGCTCAGTTACATGGTAACACTAGGCTAAGAACACACTTTCTAATGGCTTTTTTCCAATCCCAATGCCCTCTGACCCCTATGGTTTTGAGGGATCATTTCCAAAATACATCCACTGAACTCAGACTTTCTGGGGGCATAGGTGGAGGTACTGGATGGTACGGAGGTACGTGTTAGTCACTGTGGTTCCCACTGTGGCCCAAGGAGCAGAGGCAGCTGATGGGCAGCTTATGGGAGAGACACAGCGCTCCTTTCCCACGGGCTTCCAGGAAGTGCTGGTGTTCTCAGGCTATTTCAGGGTAGACTCTATCCCAGGAATGCTGACAGTAAGGGTCTCCTGGAAGCGGATAGTCAGGAAGGCTGTGCCCAAGGCTACTGTGCCTGGGTCTGTGCTGTAGCTGAAAAAGATGGAGTCCGAATGGACAGTCTCCCCCAGATCCACCGTGTCTAAGAGGCAAGAGGTGGGCCTCTGGGCTCCACTTGGATTGGCTCCCTGGCCTTCCCTGTCTCCTTTATGGAGAGGCAAACTATTCCCTTAGGTTCCCGTGTTCAGCCAGGCTTCAGGCAGCAAGTGCCCTAGGTGACCAGAGCAGAAGGCCCAGGTACCAGCTGGGGTGGCGTTGGGAGGCCTGTGGGACTGCAGAATTTACATCCAAACGTGCTGCAGATGCATCTCTGCCTTGCAACACGGGGAGGTTGACACATGGCACAGCTCCCTCTCCCCTACTCCTGTGGACAGCCCCATGTCTGTCTCAGCAACCAGCCTCCTGTGTCTGACTAATTTTGGTGAAGGTGTGTCTTCAGGCCCCATGCTGGAGCTGTAGGTATGGCACCCCCTGCCCCAGTGCCTCTGAGAGGCGGTGGGTGGTGAGAAGTCTCAGGCTTGGCAAGTCGGGAAGCTATTGCTTGGGGCTTGCTAACTCTACCCAGAAGTGCAGTGACAGGGGCTGGGCTTGGGCAGGAAGACAGAGGAAGTAGGAACAGGTATGGTGGACAGGAAGTGCATGTCTGTTCTGTTCTGCACCGGGTCCACCTCTGTGGGGCAACACAGGGCAGCAGGCTGTCTCTACAGGAGCTGACTGGCTCTCCAGGGTGCGCTGGGGCTCCCGGAGGAATCTTCACTGCTGTCCTCCTTGCTCCCAGTGCTGGTGCAGAAAGTGAATGTTGGCTAGACTTCGAAGGGACAACTGGACCCCTGGACAAAGGCAAAACTGCCCAGGCAGCCTGGGTGTTTTGAGGTATGAACTCCGCACTCTGTCATGGCAGGTGTGGTTCCCCTTTTCTCCGTGGGAAGCCACATAGCAGGCAGCTGCAGGTGTCTACTAATTAAGTCATCTTCATCTTGGATTGGAGGAATCCAGCCTCGTTAGGCGTCTGCAATGCCAGCTTCTGACCAGCAGAGGGCAACAATGAGCACTCCCAGGTGGCCGCTGTCGCTCAGGAATCCCTTTCTAAGCAAGCTGGCCAGAGGGGGTTGGGGGGGGTGGGGTGGGAGGAGGAGGCACAAGACTGCACTCCTGAAGCCGGGTGTCGGGGCCTCTGTTTGCCCCCATCCTACTCAGTGGTGTACAGAGGCAAGTAAATGGGCTCAGTGCCTATAAAACTGTAAGGTGCGTAGAGAAACCCCTTAGTATGATTGCATACCTCTGGTCCTGAGCAGGGGCAAGGCCTTCCTACCATTTACCACAGTGGTGTAGGTGGCCTAGCTGACCCTTCCTTCTGAGAAGTGGGTCTGCCCGCCTTCCCTCCTCCTCCTCCTTCTCTTCCCTCCCAGCCTTCGCTTGCAGTCCTCACAGTCCTCAGAAACAGAGAAGAGACAGCCACCATAGGCCCCCAACCTCTCCCAGGATGCTGGTGGCCTTGCTTTGGTGACTTTCCAGTACCGTATCATAATCCGGTCATCACAGACCCTTCTGCTTTCCCATCTTGACCCATTCAAGGCTGGGTGTCAGCTCCTGGGGCTAAGGCAAAGTCAAGGAGGCTGGCTCTGTTCCTTGGGTCTGTCAAGCTGTGCACAGAGGAATGAGAAGTCGCCTGGGAAGGATGAGCGGAGGGGTTCTGGGAGGGCCTTGGGCAGCCGAAGTACCTGGCCACCCCATCACTGGTCCGGAGCTGAGCTTGGCTAATGTGGCATAAACTAAACAGGCCGCTGGAATTCCACTCTGCAGCCTTTCCCTATTCCTCCTGCTCCCTCGGGGTATCCGGGAGATGACCCAGCCGCTCGGTGGACAGCCAGCAGGCTGGGGAGGAGGGGCTCTCTGCATGTGGCCTGAGGTGTCTTTCTTCTCTGAATGTTTTCTCGAACCCCAGACTGCTTCAGCTTGGATGCTGAACGACATGCCATGCCTCTGCTGGCTGACCATACATCTGCAGCATTCGCAGCTGACTGACGGCACTGACGGGTCCCCGTTGGGCTGGTGAGCTGTCCCACTGGTGGCCTGGCTCAGGGGCTCATACTTTTTAACCTTCTTTCTTTCTCATCCCATGTGCCAACTCTGCTCTGTCTGTCATGGGGCAGCCAAGGAGCCAGGGACCAAGGCTTCACCTCCTGATGGAAGAAGCCTCATTATCCCCCACAGCCAGCAACTACTGCCTGCCCTGTCCTGGTGTTTTCCAGCTCTTTCCAAGAGCTCCTGTCGAGTGTAAGGACTGGGTGTGAGCCCTCTGGGCTTCCAACCCTGGCACTCATATGACCTTGAGTGAATGAATGAGGGCTTGAGGGGGGGTTCCTCTACCTGTGAGCTGGACCCTCTGTATGCCATAGCGCTCACTATAGCCCCATTGATGATGATGACACTCAGCACTTTGTGTTACCTATGGCAGGTGGCCCTGGATGGTAAGAGCTGTGAGACCCTGAATCCATGTGTAGCGGCTCAGGGCTCTCCAGCCTTCCTGTCGGGATCACAGGTGGGTTTTTCAGAAGGGACCTCCAGATGATGGGACCTAGAATAGTGGCCTCCTGTGTGGCAATGAGCAGCTTTCTCGGGAATGACCACGGGCGAAAGTCACTGGGGTTAAGGGCAAAACTGTTGAAAGGGGCCTAAGGATTTCTGAGGACCCTGGTTGCCAAAGCTGTTGGGAGTAACAGATGGTTGAAGGACTGGGTCCCTCAGGGTCAGCCATCCCTCTATTACTCAGGGTCTTTGGGCATCTTGTCTGGGAGTGGGTTGTCTGGAAGAGTCCTGAGCTGGCAGTAACAGGGGTCCCCAATTCTGAGCTGGGAACGCTCCTAAGTGGGGAACCTGGATACAGCAGGTTCAGGCCCTGTCCTAAAACTAAGAAAGCCTTTCTGAGCCAAGGTTCGGGATACATGTCTCTGAGGGAATGGGGGACAAGAGGAGGCAGGTATACCAGCTGCCGGGCCACCTACTCCCTCCTGTATCACCCTTGGCTTGGGGCAGGACTGGCCTTTTAGAGCTGACTGAGTGGTCGCTACCAGTGAGGTGTGAATGTGGACCAATGCTCCTCATCAGCAGAAGGAAATCTCTGCGGGAGAGGGGCACCTATTGTGGGTGTGTCCATAAGGTACGTGGGATGACGGTGCACACACATCCTGGGAGCAAGGGTGGGGGTGAGGAAGTCACCAGGGCACTTGGTGGCCATGTCCTGGGAAATCAAGGGAGGTCCTGAGCCAGGTGGGAGAAGCTAGGTCTAGACTCGAGCTCTGAGTGCAACTTGCCTGCCATCTTGGTGACCTTCGATCCCAGTCTCAGGCTGCTTAGGGAAATAGCCCAGAGAAGGCCAGAGTGAGTGGAAAGAGTCCTCCAAATGTCGACATGATAGATTGGTGACACCGGACCTGGCCAGCAGAGGCTGGCTTTGCTACGTGTCAGGCAGCTACTCTGAGGGAGGGGCTGAGCAGCTCCTGGATTCTTAGAACGAGCACACCTGTCCTCCGCTGAGCTCCCTCCCAAGGTGGGTAGCTCTGCTCGCATGAGTGTTCCAAGGCTGGAGAGCAAGGCCCTCAGGCACCTGTCTTTTTTGGAGGGGGGCATCGCTCAGTGTCCTCAGTGTCTTCTTGCTAGACTAGTACCTTCTGCCTTCCCAGGTCAGAGTGGCAGCTGTGCCCTCATGGTGACCCTGACACCCTTATAGGACCCGAACACTCCAGCCAGCAAGCAGAATGGTCCAGGGTGCGTGTCCCTCAGGGCTCTGATATTCTCTGGCTAGGCATATCCCTCGGGAAACATTTGGGTACCAAGTCTCAAAACTCAGCTTGCTCAGGGTGCACTCACGCAGCCAGTCCTCTCCCCATCCCCCAGCCCCAGCTTCCTGACATCTCTGCCTTTGACTAGAAGAACCCAAAGGACAGGGCTGGTCACACCCTCTCTGCACCGCAGAACTGCCTCGGAGCCTGGCACTCAGCCTGTGTGATGCAGGGCAGAGAAGTTGACTCAGATCCTGGTAGTTGTGTCTGGTAGCCACGAGGTGTCCAGAGGCCTCAGTGCTGGCTTCTGTTGTTGAATTATTAAGCTGTCTGTCCTCTCCTCATGCCATCTGCGACACTGGCCTGCTTTCGACAGGAGAAGCCCCATGGCTCACGAGAGACCCCCCCCCCCCCGACCCGTCGTTTGTCAGAGGGGATTGTCCGCTAACTATCAGAGAAGAACTGGGCCACGTGGCTGTAACTTATCTATGGTGAACCTCTTCAACTCTGGGGTCACCTGTCTATCTATCATGAGCATGTAGAGGCTATGTGTGACCTGATGACTTGGAGTCAGACCTCCAAATCTATAATCCAGGGGTTTGGTCTTTTCAGTCTGTGACCCACAGCTGGAAGAATCCTGGTGGCTGGGAGATGGGGGGTCAGATGTCCTGCACTGGAGTGGGGCTTCTGCTGGCTTCAGAGTAGACTCAGGCAGGCAGTGCTGGCATAGGAAGGAAGAGCACTGGCTGGGCATGGAGCAAGGTCAGGTGCAGCCCAGGTACAGGTGGGTCGGGCAGGGGGCTGGTGGAGGAGGCCCCTGCCTGTGCACAGAGGGCAGTGTTTGGGTCTGTACAGCGTCTGTGGAGCCAGGCTGGATGTGGCGGTAAGGGACCACAGCTGGAAGCCCCCTGGGGAGACGCCAGGGTGGTGCCACTCTGCCTGGGGAGAGCAGAGAGAGCTGGCCTCCTGCCCAGGCCCTGCCAGCCAGCAGCCGGCTGCTGGGACGGAGCCAGCAGGGATGGGCGGATGAACCCAAAGCCCCGGAGCAAGGAGGGGAAGGCCCACAGGGAACGTAATGGGAAGAGCCGGAGAGGCCTGAGCAGCGGTAGCAGCAGCCAGGGCCTGGGAGGGGGCTTCGGACAGAGCCCGGGAGGGGGCTGTGGGACAGAGCCCACCCAGGCGGCTCTGTTTTCCCACTCCTTTCTCTGAGGAAATCTGAGAAGTGCAGCGCTCAGCACTTTCGCCTCCGAGCTGCATTACAACCGCGTAATTGAAGCTATCTGATTGGAGGGCAGCCAAGCAGGTAGATTACAAGTGATTAGAAATGATAGGGGGGCCTGCAACCCGAGACAGCTCCACAGCTGCCCACCGTTCACTGCCCACCCTTGCTTCCTTCCGAGACCCTAGGCAGCCCAAGCCTCTACTTCCCCGTAACAGGACATCCACAGCCATCACCAACACACTTCCCACCTCTCACACGAGGTGAGAGTCTGCCCGAAGCCGGAGACAGCTCGGGGTGAGTGGGGTCACCACCCCACCCTGTGGCTCTTGGTGGCACCTGCTCACTGCAGGGAACCCTGGTGTCAGATGTGGAGTTCCTGAAGATGGGGAGATCCCACTGGGGTGGGGATCTTTGGGGCAGATGCCCAACAATGAAGTCTGGCCCTCCTTATGCATCCAGAGGCCCTTTCTAGAAAGTTCTACCCAGCCAGCATGTACTGGGGACACTCTGCCCCACAGTTCCGGGCTGACCAGTGTGGGAAGGGTCTCTTACCGGCACTGTCTGGGTCCCAGCGATGGGCTGTGTGCTGGGCTCCGTGCCTGGCTGCTCAGGGTGCGTCTGTGCTGGTGTGTAGAGGGTCATGCCGTGCTCTGGGGGGACTGGGGTCTGGCCGGAGTAGTCCTGTGTAGGGTGTGGCGGAGGTGGGGCATATTCAGCTGGGATTCCATTCTGAGGTGGAGGAGGGTACTGGGCAGGGGGGTAGGGCTGGGCCATCGCTTCAGGCGGAGCCGTGGCGTCCTGATTGCCCTGTAGGTGGAGAGAGCACAGCCCGGGTTAGAATCTTTTGAAGCCTGTGAGGGATGTTGCCTTTCAATTCAGTCTCTGTGATTTCCACACACTACTTCCCATGGCATCTCCCAGGTCCTCAGGATGGGGACCCCTAGAAGAGCTGCAGGAGGTGCCAGCGTGAGGTGCCAGCGCGAGGCACTCCTGGCTGTGACCACTTATACTTGTTGCACATGACCACACAACTTCAGAATTCTGTTTTCCCACCTCGATTTTAAAATCAGTCATCTTCTGTCAAGACCATTGCAGACTCATGTCGCTACAGGAATCAACACAGATTGATCTTCACACTCTCCACCTGGTGTCCCCAAACAATAGTGACCACTGAAAACCAGCATTCAAGGAACACCCCCTTCCCCTGCCACCAAGCCTCTTCCCAAATGGGGCTCCAAGCCTTGGTTTCCCACTACAAGGGGTGGCTTCCTAGTTCACCTTGATGAACAAGAGCAGAACGCACCCCTTCGGTGACAGGCAACATCACGACAGGATGATCGCTATAGCCAGAAGGTCTCTGAGATCTCACTAAGATTCTTTCCTGCCCCCACCCCGAAAGCCTGCAGCCCAGAGAAGTGATGAACACCCCCTCGATGCTGACCCCCAACCCCAGTAGCTCCCTCCTCCTCCGACAGTGACACTCAAAGCTGCTACCTGGGTCCTCAGCATCACCATGGAGCCTGCTAGCTGAGGACGCAGGTCTGGGCCCCACACCATGCCTCTTGGGCACTTGTGAGGAAAACTCATTATAAGCAGATAAGCAGCTCAGCGAGGAGCCCTTCCTTCAACCCCAGGCTTCTGTCCTGCAGAGCCAGGTGCAGGCGAAGCTGGAGAGGGAGGAGGCTGGTTTGCCCTGTGCTCTGCTGCAGGACATAGTCCCCATCTCGTCCCCTCTGGGCCGGCAATGCCGTCACTCTTCTTTGTGTGGCCCAGAGGTCCATCACCTGAGAGGTCAGGTAGTGTCTCCCATTGGAGCAGACCCCCAAGGACACATCAGCAAGAATTCATGTCCTTGCTGAGTGACTCGGATTAGGTGTGGAAGGGGAAGACAGGGGCTGCCTCCTCCCGCTCATGCTCGTCCAACATGGACTCCCCTGTGGCCCACAGTACGAGGCACTTCAGTAAGTGAGAACCTACTTAAGGGTGGGCATGAGGTAGGTGGCAGGGAGGTATCGGTGGGCTTGCAGGATTCTCTCTCATGTTCCCTTCTGTGTCTGCCCGACCCTTTGCCAGTTGCATGACTGACCTCTCAGCCTGGCTGTGTCCACCTCAGCCTCGGGGTAGCAGCAGGCAAAGTTTCAGCCAGCAGGGCTCTCTCCAGTCCTCTGTTCCCCACAGCTGACCCCACGTGCCTTAACGTCCCATCCTCACAGACAAGACAGCCTCCCCCATCAGCGCACACTGGGCCTTGTTCTTGCCTGCACACATCACTAGGCTTCCCTTTACTCTCCAAGTCGCTGCTTCTTTTTTCCTTTGCTTCTGGGGTGTGCCAGGTCCAAGCTGGGGCCGGGTTACTTTGGGAAGCAAGAACAGGCCTGCTTCACCAGGCTTGCTGAAGGCCACAGTGGTCCAGATGCTTTATCCACTGTGATGGTGCTCAAGGGGCACCCAAATGTGAAGCGTCTACAGGGCCGGCACCAACCCCATCTGTCTGGTCACTAGCCATGAGTGTTAGCCTTGCTCTGCTCCCTAGAGCGCCCAGGGCCAGCCAGCCTGGAACAGGTTCACCAAGCTGATGATAGTCTCGGTACCCAAGTCTTCCTCTCCCCTCCTTTTCTTCTCTGTCACTTTCTCCCACTCTCTCTCTCTCCCCCAGCAACGCTGCCTGGCCCCTTCGCTGTCTATGCAGAAGCTCAAAACTGGGGCAGTGTGTAAGCGCCGAAGAAAGACGTATGCCTCACACCGCCTCCTCTTCTCCCCGCCCCCCACCCTCTCGTTTTCACACCTGGACACAGCAAATCCCCTTGCTGGAGATTCCCAACCCCTTGCTGGAGATTCCCAACCCATTGCCCTCTCCTCAAGGGTCCTCCCGGGACAGGGTGCAGTTCTCCATGGAGGGCAGTGGCCTGTCGTCTCTACCTACAGTAGCTAGGTCTAGAAATCATGTTACCCACTGTTAACAGACACGCTGGCATTCAAAATGGGCAAGCGGCTCACAGATGGGGGTGTTTGCGGGAGGTCTGGGGAGAGATGGGAATGCCGTGCAGGGGTGGAGAGCATCTAGCACCCGGGATGGCCAAGGGGGAATGGCAGGATAGAACAGAAGGCCTAAGGGTGTAGAAGGTGAGGGGGAGGGAGGGAGGGAGGGGCCTGTCAGCGGCCTGGCGGACGCCAGGGAGATCAATTCCCCTGTAAATATTTGATGAGAACCTTCACTAACTGATATGGCTGGCTTCACAGCTCCTCTCTCCACTCCTCCCGGGTGGCTTTGGCTGTGAGTCACTTCAGCTGCCTGGGGTGGGGCCCTGACTTGGACATATTTTTAAAGTCCTTGAGTGATGTAGTTGGGTCTGAGGGCCACTTGGGACCACGGCCATCCTCAGCACGAGGAGGTGGAAATGTACATCAGGGAGGCATCGCCCGGGTACACCCACTTACTCTGCATCCCCTGGTCCCGGGTATCACGGTGACCATCTGCAGATGGTGAGACCGTATGCCCAGAGGTGACCAGAGCCACCTGGTGGCTTAGGGCTTCAGGCAGTCATCACTGTATCTCCCAGGATCTGAACTCTGTCATTGCCCTCTCCTCAAGGGTCCTCCCGGGACAGGGTGCAGTTCTCCATGGAGGGCAGTGGCCTGTCGTCTCTACCTCCACCTGCTCAGCTGCAAAGTGTGGAAACAACCATCTACCATGTATGTGGATTAGATGAGGCCATGTGCATACGTCCACACACTTACCAGAATTCCATTCGCCTCCCACAGCTGTACAATTTGGTTTCCTGGTAATGCCCCATTGGACCTGCTGCCCTGAAAGCCTTTCCATCCTGGGACACACACCCTCTCCCTTTGCTTGATAACTCAGCATTCAGCCTGAACCCCAGGGTTCAGGTCACAGTGACAGCTCCACTGGTCTACACTCCACAGCCCCCCAGCAACTCCAACTCTGCCTTCATGAACCCAGAATCCAACCACTTAGACCAAGTCAGGGCTTCCACTCTGTCTTGTCCCTCCAGACTTCCTGCTTCTGTTCTAGCCCCTACCGTCTGTTCCCTGTGGAGTGAAACCCCAAGTCCTCATAGCACCTCGAAATCCTGCTCATAGTCTTCGCCCCTTCCTGTCTATCCTCTGGCTTGTCTTGTTCAGACGCAAATGTCCCTGCTGCTCCCCGCGCATCTAGCTCCCAGCTCAGGTCACTCGCTCTTCCCTCAGACCCCTGGGGTGCTCTCATATTCTCAGTACTGGATTCTTAGGGAGGCCTTTGTAACTCAGGGTCCCTGGCTGGACACTCACCATTCCTTGACCCACATTCTCCTCAGTCTGGGAGCCTGCACCCAGATGTCACTGTCCCCTGCCCCGTAGGATGTGGTCTCAGGGGGACAGGCACGATGTCTGCCTTGCTGCCCTGACTCTCCAGTGTCACAGCTCCATGTGCCATGCAGGAAAACGGTGACAAAGAGGTATCAATGAGGAAAGAACAGATTTAAGTGGAAGAAAAGGGGTGTCTGTGTAGACACAGTTACCCACTGACTTATCTCTGTGGAAATGCTCAGAGTTCTTGCCCAGAAGATGGTCCCAGGTGTCCCTTCCTCTAATGGTCAGGAATCCCTAGCTTAGGACCATGAAGCTTGCCCAGCACCTTTAGGACTCAGGATTTTGGGGGACTTCATTGGAAGCCTCCACTCCCACTTTTTGTAGCACCAGCCCAGGATCCTCACTGTCTCCCCCATGACAGACACCACAGCAGCCATGTTTACAGAAGGGTCAAAGTGCACAGAGTGGGGACTGTGTCAGAGATCTGTCACCTGAATGGCTTCTGAAGACCGGGTGCGAGGCTGGGAGGATTTGTAGGTGGAATAGGGCAGCCTGTGGAGGTAAGCTGGACCTGGATGGACTCAACTCATTCCAGTAAGCCGGGAACATCTTAAACAGCTCCAGGTGAGCAAGCTCACCTCACTGGCTGGAAATTGGCTCCATGACAGAAGCCCCCAGAGCTGGGGCTTTGTGAGGAGAAAGGGTATCCCAGGTCAGGCATTCATCAGCACATTTGGAATAGCTCCCTCAGCTCATACCACAGGCACATCCCAGTACTGACCCGGAGCTTGCTGTTGGGGAAGATAAATGATACCAACTACGGTGTCTAAAACACCTGGACTGATGTTGTGATTTTTAATTAAAAAATTTATTATTGTGTGTATACATGAAGTGGATGGGGGTGTGCACACCACAGCATGCATATGGAGTGCGTCAGTTCTCTCACCTTTATGTGGATTCTGGGAGGGAACTCAGGTCATCAGGCGTTTGTGACTAGAGCCTTTACTCTCTGAGCCTTCTCGTCCACCCTCAATGTTCTGAAATGACTTGATTCCAGCTAGATTTGTGGGAATCCTCCTTGAAGGTGGGGGTCTGAGATGAGTCTGTGTCCTTGAGGGGTCTCTGGTCCAGGGGTATGCTGTTCCAGACAGTACCATGAAAGCTGGATGGTGGGGGTCTCCAGGGAGCCTCTGTCCACCCCTAAAGGACTCAGGGTGATGCACAGAGGGCTGGAACTGGCTTGGGTGTGGGAAGAAGGCGGGGGTTGGGCTACAAGTATCTTGTATCTGCTTCACAGACCCTGTGGATCCTTTCCTGCCTCGTCCTCTGGCTTCCAGGTGGTTGAGGTGGTGGGGCGGTCAGTCTGGGTGGGACACTTGCTTCCCGGCCTCCTCTCATGGAAGTCCTCTGAGTCTCTCTCCTTCATTGCTTCTTCCTCTAGCGGCCAGTCCTAGGCCCCTGCACTGTCCTTGGTGGTCCTTCTATGTGCCCCCTAG